TTAATCTGGCTCTTAACATCCTGTAGTATTATTTTTATGAAGTTGGGTGCACCAGAGTTTGGTGAATTTATGTTCATGATTGTAATATCTCCTTGATTCATTGTTCCTTTGATCAAAATGAAGTGGCCCTCTGTCTCTTCTGATTAGTTTTAGTTTAAAGTTTATTTTGTCAGATATTATATTTGTTATGCCTACTTTTTTCTTAGTACCATTTGCTTGGTATATTTTTTCCCATCCTTTCACCTTAAGGGGTTTTGTTTCTTAATCCATTCACATAGTCTGTGTCTTTTGACTGGAGAATTCTGTCCATTAATATTTAAAGTTATTAATGAAAGATGGGTATTGAATCCTGTGTTTTTATTTCAATTTACAGTTTTGATATAGCTGTACTTTTCCTCAGTTAAACCTTCATTTTATTTCTTTTTGCAACCCCTTGGGTATAGTCATTCCTTTCTTCAGCTCTTTGTATTGCTTCCAGAACTCTCTGAAGGGCTGGTTTTGTGGACATGAATTCCTTCAGCCTATTTATGTCATGGAAGATTTTTCTTTCCCCTTCGACTATAATAGACATTTTGGCTGGGTATAGTAATCTGGGTTGGCATCTGTGGTCATTTAAAACTGGGAATACTTTGGTCCAGGCTCTTCTGGCTTTCATAGTTTGCATAGAAAATTCAGCTGTAATCCTAATGGGTTTTCCTTTATATGTTACTTGTTGTTTCTCTTTTGCAGCTTTCAGTATTGTCTCTTTGTTTTGTACGTGTAGTATTTTTACTATGATGTGCCATGGAGAGTTTCTTCTCTGGTCCTTTCTGTTTGGTGTTCTACATGCTTCTTGTATTTGTTGGGCATGTCTTTCTTTAATTTTGGGAAATTTTCTTCCACGATTCTGTTGAAAATCTGGTCCATGCCATTATCTTGGGATTCTTCTCCTTCCTGTATGCCTATGATCCAGTCTTGATACTCTGTTTTCCATTTCATTCATCCTGTTGTTGAGGCTTTCTCCTGTCATTTCTAATTGGCTTACTGAGTGTTTCACTTCCTTCTTCATTTCATCCTGAGCATTCTTCAATATTTCTAACTCTTTTCTGAATTCATTCAGAAGTTTATCCCTATCTTCCTTCAGTTCTTTGATTTCTTTTTTTTTTGTTCTTTAAATTCATTGAATTCTTTTATTATGTTTATTATTGTTCTTTTGAGTTCCATGTCCTGCATTTTCTCTAGGGGGTTCTCATTGTACTCCTCTGGAGGACTATTGGTATTTGGTGGGGATATGTTATTTTGGTTTTTCATGTTATTACTTTTTCTCTGTGATTTTGACATGTGATTTTTTTTTTTTTGTAGTTTCTGGTTCTTGTGTGAGACTCAGGCCTTCAAGTTTAGGTCTACTTCTTTTTGTGAAGTTTTTGTGTCTTTGTGGTTTACTTTTTGGGCATGGAATGCTGGTTCCTCTAAGCTTCCAGTTGCCTCTCTTGATTTTTTTATTGGAATGGCCGTATTGATTTTGTCTTCAGGAGTTCCCACAGAGGCCCAATTCAGATGAGGATCAGATGATTTCAGCTTTTTTACTAAGGTCTGGATCCTCCCAGGACTGATTTTGGCCTCAGGAATTTAGGGGTTTGACTGGCCTGGGAAGCTGGCCCAGAAAAGATGCTTGTCTTGGGCACATGGTGGTCGTGCCACCCAGAGATGCAAAGGCAGATGGGGCGGTAAGAGGTCCCAAGGACTCCTGGGGACTGCACTGAGGAGCTTGGTTGGTCTGGATGCAAAGGATCAGAAAGAGTAAAGGTCAACTCCCAAGTACCAGAAAGAGGGTGGCAGGTGGTGCAGGCCCCGGGAAGCAGGGGTAGTTGAGGGCTTGGTCAGGTCCAGAAGCAGTGATCCTGGGGCCCAGAGAAGGCACTAAGTTGGTCTGAATGAAAAGGTTCAGGGAGCAGTATTGGTTCCCCAGGTGTCTGGGGCCTCAAGACAAGGAATGGGACAGGATCCAAACTAGGAGAGACCAGCGGGGGAGATGGGAGGGTGAATGAGGCTGGGGAGTCAAGGCTAGGAGGGCATGATGGACTTACCCCTGAGAGAGGCCTGCATGTGGGAGAGAGATCTGTGGAGGGTGGTGCATGCCCAGGGAAGCAGAGGTAGGTGAGTGCAAGGCCAGGCCTAGAAGCAGTGCTCCTGGGGCCCAGAGAAGGCACTAATTTTGGATCAGACTCTTAATCCTCCACTACGCATGGATATTAATTTGGAAGGATTCCTAATACATGTTAAATAAAATTGCTTATTGTATTTAAAAAATCAATGGGAAAGATAGAAGAAATCTCTATAACTCATTAATAAAAAGAAAATAAACTCAGTTTGGGAGAAAATATTCCAAATTATGCACATACTGTATAAGTATAATATTTATGCTTATATATCTGAAAACATTTGTATTTAAAAACACATAAAAGAATTTTACAATACAATAATTAGATGGTTGGTGGTTTAGTTTAATGGTAGCACACTTAATGCTCAGCATGTGCTAGGCTTTGGGCTCAATGCCCAGGACTCCTAGTAGGAAAATACTTTCTATGTGGAAACATGTCAGAGTAGTGGAAGTTGGTGATGTCTGCCTCCCCAGAGATGATCAGCAGTGGTTAGCACAGACTTGTCCTTTCCCATCTATAGAAGATTTACTCATATTTCAGAGCAGAACAGAGTTCATCTCAATATACAGGCAAATAGGTCACTAGCAATGGTGTATGAAACACAGTTTCTTAGTTTGTGCACACTGCTTTGTGGGCAGTTACCATCTGGTTTCTCTTGTTAGTGTTTGGATTCTAACTAGATGTCTGTCCCATTGTTCCTACCCCAGGCTATGGGTCTGGATCTTCTGAAAATATTGTGAAAGGTAGCAAGCTCCATCCTGAACACCTCCAACTCTTCCCTGTGTATAACTCACTACTAAAATAGGAACAAGTACTCTCAGCAATTTTATTTATATACTTGGATGACTTTATATTTGATAACTATACTGCAAATTCTATTGTGTTTGTTTTTCCAAATGGCAAGACTGTTCATACATTTTGATTTCTAGACTTAAACCTGGACTCTTTTATGTTTTCTCATTTGGGGGAAGATTAATGGATATAAAAGCATCAGTTTTGGGTAAATTGATCTGCTCTGTAGCATCTAATCTGTACTGAGTTTTGTTTTCTTAAGATATAGGCCTTTTGGATGGGATAGCTGGAAACTAAAGTTGTATTTGTCAGTGTTGAGGTTAATATGCCCCACATCTTCCTGGCTCTTATGTCAATTTCCCAATTCCTTAAAGAACCTGTTGGGAAAAAAGATATTATCCTCTGATATACCAACATCTAGGAAGATTTTCTCTATTTTTCTTTCTTTCCTCTTCTTCTGTTATGCAACATTTTCCAAAGAAACAATCTTTCAAATTTTATTTTGTGAAATCAGAAAAGTAGATACTGAAAAATGTGAAAAGTAATAACGTTTTTCTTAGAAGAGAACATTTTCCCCTTCTGGACACTATAGTCTACATAATGGAAATATTTAAACAAAATTGATTAGATACTTCACTTAGATCTATTTTAAGTTTTGATGGCAGGTATTTAGAAAAAATACTCATCAAAATATGTAAATGTGGGGCTGGGAGAAATGGCTCAGCAGTTAAGTGTGCATACTGCTCTTGCAGAGGACCTGAGCATCCACATTGGGTAGCTCACCACCAATTCTAAATCCAGATCCAGGGGATCTGATGCCATCTTCTGATCTCTACATGCATCTACACTGATGTCCACCCCCTCCCCCACACAATTAAAATAAAACAAATCTTAAAAAATGTACAAAAGCAATGCTGAAGAAATCTTTTTGGATGGATTTCTTTCAGACACATATGAATTTAAGTTACTTTATTCAATCATTTGAGTTGTTTTGCTAATCATTCCAAATAATTGATATAATGAACTAATGCCTCTGTGTCTCAGCATATGCCACAATATCTGAGGTTGAGAAATAAGAGCACTGATTGTTTGTTTGATAAACCAAATTGAGTTAGAAACTGAGTTATAAACATTTCTTTCCTATCTTTTTAAGGGCTTCTATCACATCTTGATTTCTGAGGCTATAAATCAGGGGATTTAACATGGGGATAATTATTCCATAAAATACAGAAGCTGCCTTTTCCTGCTCTTGAGATTCACTGGTATGATGGTGTAGATACATGTAGGCGAGAGTCCCATAGAAAATGATGACTGCAGTCAGGTGGGAGGCACACGTGGAGAAGGCTTTCTTCCTTCCGGCAGCAGAAGATATCTTCAGGATAGCAGCCAAGATGTACATGTAGGAAAAGATGACGACTAACACAGTGCTCATCAAGTTGAACCCCACAAAGACTGTCAGTAGGAGGATGTTGAAGTCAATAGTGGAGCATGATAGGGCAAGAATGGGAGGTTCATCGCAGAAAAAGTGATTAATTGCATTGGATTTGCAAAAGTTCAATGAGAATGTAAAACTCGTGTTGACAGAAGCATTTAGGAAGCCCATGACATATGAACCAACCAACAGAAGAGTGCAGCACCTCTGGGACATAACAATGGGGTAGCGCAGTGGGTTACAGATGGCCACATAGCGGTCCACAGCCATAGCAGCCAGGATGAAGCAGTCAATGGTTGCAAACGTACCATAGGCTAGCAGTTGTAGCATACACCCTGTGAAGGAGATGGATGCCTTTGTCTCTGTGAAATTTTTCAGCATCTTGGGAGTAATGGCTGAAGTATAACATAGATCTACAAATGCTAAGTGTTGGAGGAAAAAGTACATGGGAGTGTTCAGGGAAGAATTGATCTTGATGAGCAGGATCATACCAATATTACCTATGAGTGTGACCACATAGATGACTAGAAAGATTGTGAACAGGATGTGCCAAGACTTGTGTTGGTCAGCAAATCCCAGAAGAATGAATTCAGTCACTTTGGTGCCATTATTTTCTTCCATAGTTAATGCAATTAAATATCAGCTGATGAACTGCAAAGAAAGAAGAGTAGAGAAGTCTGAGTACATTGTGATCCCTGAACTTGCTCTGAAATGTTTGGTTTCAAAGCAAGACAGAGAATACTTTCTGCAATATAACTCGCTTTGGCTTTGAAGGTATGAGGAGCGAAGCACAGTGGCTCATGTCTGCAGACAGCATTTGGGAGGCTGAGGCAGGAAAAACAGGAGTTCAAGACCAACCACGGCGTTATAGCAGATATGAGACCAGCCTGGATTACATGAGACCCTGTCTCAACAAAGCAAAGCAAAGCAAAACAGAATGGAACAGAACAGAACAAAACAAAAGGCTGAAACTTCACACACAACAGCTTCACGCAGATTTTGGAGAAACTGTTCATGGAGCAGTAGCTATGTTCCTAAGGGGCAAACTGATAAGTCATAAGTATACCCACTGGCAAAGATATAAAACATATTTATCCAGTGTGAATATGTGTGGTGTATTTGTGAAGTCATGCTCATGTGTGGGTACACACTTGCATGTGCATGTGGAAGCCAGAGGTTGACATCTGGTGTCTTCCTCTGTTGCTCTCTACATTATTCTTTGAGATAAGGTCTTTTGCTGAACTTGGAATCTGCCATTTTGGCTATAAAAATATCAGTGAATAGCAGTGAGACCCCAAGATCAGCTTATCTCCAACCTCCCTAGTGCTAGAGCTGCAGATGTTTGTGCTGGCTTTAAAAATATTTTATTTCTTCAGGTAGAAAACAAAATCTTATTGTGTGTGTGTGTGTGTGTGTGTGTGTGTGTGTGTGTGTGTTCATGTATGCTAGCTCATGTGTATGCCTGTGGAGACCAGGAGTCAATCTTGAGTGTTTTTCTCTATTGCTCTTCATCTTATTTTGGATACAGAATCCCTCACTGAACTTGACATTTTGGTTAGACTAACTAGCCAGCAAGCTCCTGGGATCCACCTGTCTCCACTCCTGAGTATTAGGTTACTGGAATACACCCCTGTGCCTGGCTTTTATGTTGGTATTTGGGATTTGATTGCAGGTTCTCAAGCTTATGCAGAAAAACCTGTATAAAGTAACATCTCATTTTTACCATCTTCCCCATCAAACCACAAATGAATGGTCACTCCCCAGTATACTTAGCGTTATGCTATTTTACTTTCCTGCAAACTGGCTGTTGGAAATAATATTTCTGTTGAATTAACCTATAAATGTTATTTTCAAAAATTCATGATTTGAGTTTCCTGTCAAAGATTTTCAAACATTCCATCATTTGTTAACTTTGTTTATGATATCTTTTATCAACCAAAAATCATTAAACTTGAAATAACTGGTTATGTTTTTTACTTTATAGCTGGTGCTTTGAAAAAAAATGAAGACTGTTCATTTCATTCTTTTCCCAGAAGACACAGATGCAATAATGAAACTATCTTTCTTACAGTGAATTGCTGTTATATTAAGCTTGCTGAATCATAATACTTCATATTTTGTGTTTAATGTGATTATTTTTTATTGCTTCCCCATTTTTTTGTGTGCATGTATGTCTGTGTGGACCTGTGTGTACATGCATATGCAGGTGAGAGGTCAACCTGGGGTGTGTGTCATTGCTCAGGTGCCATTCACTGTGTTTTGGGAGACGAAGTCTCTCATTAGCTTGGAGCTGTCTGAGGAGTCTAAGGTGGCTGGCCAGAGGGCCTCAGGGATCTGCCTGTCTGTCCTTCTGTAGCACTGGAATTACAAGGCAGCACAACCATGCCTAGCTTTTTACATAGGTGGTAGGCATCAGCCCAGGTTCTTATACATTTGTGGCAAGTACTTTACCCACTGAGCTGTCTCCCCAGCTCCATTCTTTATTTATTTATTTTAAAGAAAATTGATTATGAAGGTAAAGGTTGATAATGGTGGTGTGCATTACTTTTATGAATCTGAATGTTTTCAAAGCATTAAATGATTTGACTTCCTATTTTAAAATCTACTCACAAAACACTAACATCACCTGTTTATGGAAGAACTAACTCTACTATTACATAATATTTCCTGTAAAATTTCAATAGAGAATCTTTCCAAGCTCATTTCCTTAGATGAATATAACTTTGATTAGAAAGTAAGAAAATCCAATCTGAACTCATTAATGAATAAAGATGCAAATATCTTTAAAACAAACATTTATCCACCAAACTCAGCCATGTAACGAGACAAGAGAGACATCAGAAAGCAATTGTTTTCCTCCTCTCTCAGTTTTTCAACCAGCTGAGAAATAAAAGAAATTGTATGTGCGGAGATCATAACATAGCCTTTAGATACCTGGGGGGAAACTTAGGATTTATAGGCAAGTTAATTGTTGTTAATAAACACAATAAGTAGACAGACTTACCACTCCAGCTTTGGCAACAAGGACTGGACACATCATTCGCAGGTTGCAGGACAGCACTTCTGAGTGAAGACAAGTGAGTTTCAGCAGGCTAGGGGCTCCTAAGAGGCTGTGGTAAAGCAGAGTATGCTAGGCTGTTTTCAGCTTCACCAGTCAGATATGATATTCCACCTGTCTAGGAATGAGCGCCTCAAATGTATAATTTGTCATATTAACATTTTTAAAGGGAGACAGCCATTTGATCTTAGTACATACTGAAAATTATTTGGTGAATTTCAGTAAATGATAGGCTACTGGCAAAATGGAATTAGAGAGGATGGGGGAAGACTGTGTTAACTTGGCATTTTCTGCCAAATTGTTATACTAAATATTACCACTACAATAAGTCATGAAGAGTAGTGATTATAACTGAAGGTGTAAGATAATGATGCCAGTTATCCCCAAATCTATCCAATATTCACCTTACATCTTAGCCAGGGAAAAGGATATGCTAAAGAAATGAAGGGTACCATGATTGTATGGAAAGGATGCAGCTGTAACCATTTTTAGATGATGTGTTTGTCTCCAAGGAAAATTTCAGAGCATTAGCAGATAAATTCTTCATAAGGCTAGTAAAGTTATTTGCCATGAGGCTAATATGCATAGGTCAGTATTTTTTTGGTTATAATAACGTTTTTATTTTTATTAGTTAAATTTTTTCTTTGAAAATTTCAATTATCTGTCTATCATCTATCATCTATCTATCTATCCATCCATCCATCTATCTATCATCTATCTATATCTATCATTATCTATCTATATCTATCTATCATCTATGTAACTATGTATGTATGTATGTATGTATGTATGTATGTATCTGTCATCTATCTATCTGTCATCTATCTATCTATCTATCATCTATCTATCTATCTATCATCATCATCATCATCATCATCATCATCATCTAATTCTGATTATTTTCACCCCATCCTCTTTTATCTTCCTCCCACCTCATCACCATCTCCTGTGCTCTTGCCTAGAATTCTCTTTCCCACATTCATGTCCTTTGGTTTTTCTTCATGACCCACTGAGTTTAACCAGGTCTGTCTGTGTGATAATGGGTTTGGAGCTATACACTGGAATCTGGTGGGATCACCTGTGGGCACACAATGGAAAACAATGACTTCTCCTTTCCCAGAATCAAGACAGAATATTTTAATTTATAAAGAACTGAGGGTGTGACTCAGTGGTGGAGCATGTGTCTAGTGCTCTGGATTTGATTCTTATCCCTAGAGAAACAAACCATAAAATTACAACAACAAAAAATAAACTATAAAAGCACAAATTCAACAGAGAAAGTTCATAATAATTATTGGGAAAATAGAACTTTTTAAAGGCATGAAGGAAATCTGGAGAGATGTCTCAGTGGTTAAGAGCACTTACTGCTCTTCCAGAGGATCCAGGTTTGGTTCCCATCATCCATATGGTGGCTAACACCTGTCCTTAACTCCAGTTCCAGGGGATCCAATACCCTCTTCTGGCCTCCATGGGTACTAGGGACCTAAGTTGGTCCACTTACATACATGCAGTCAAAACATCTGTACACATAAAATAAAAAAATAAAGGCACAAAGAGGACCAAAATACAGATCTGGATTATGGATAATAACTCAATACTATAAATTCTACATCTTCCCCTACATTAAACTATAATTCAATGTAATTCCAATAAACGATAGAATTTTATATACACTTTGACAAGCTTATTCCAAATTTCATGTTCTAGAGAAAGGAGCCAAGAAAAACAAAGGAAAACAGGTGGGAATCTCTCCTTCCAGACTTCAGGAGTCATTATAAAGAAATAATAATAAAGACAGTCTGGTACAAGCATGGAGAAAGACTGATGTATCAAGAGCACTGGGAAAATGAAACAATAAACAGACCCATTAGTCTGTGGAAACCCAATGTATGAAAACAGAGCACTAAGAGCAATGAAAAATGGTGCAATCCACGGTGGTGCTGTGAATGTTTATACATATGGAAGAATAATATCGGATTTCTACTTTGCATTTTACAATTTCAATTGCAAATGAAATAAAGATTTGGATCTCTGTGAGTTCAAAGCCAGCCTGGTCTAGATAGTGAGTTCCAGGACAGGTGGGGCTACAGGGAGACCCCCGTCTCAAAAAGACCCCCCCCAAAGATTTTGATTTTAAAACTTAGAGAGTATAACAGAAAAATAGACATGACTTATGTAAACAGACAAACTTCAGAGAAAGTATGAAAGCACAAATCATCAAATGTTGAGAACACTAACCATATGAAAGACAAAGGACTGTATACTAACTGAAAATTTAATCAGGTAGATTCATTTGTGATACACTTAAACATGACAAAGGGTTAGTATCCAGGATATAGAAGGAGATTTTACAAGTCAGTCTAAAGGAAAAATTCACAAAAGACAAACTAGAAATTAAAAGGAAGACCTCAATGATCAACAGAAACATGAAAAGATACTTTTATGTGAACATTTCATTAAAATATCATTTTATCCCTATCAACTTAAAGTGCTACATTTAGTTGAAGAACCGCACAGTGTCACATATTTCTGCTAAGGATCAAAATTACCTCTATTGGAGACA